TTATTTTGGTAAGTAAGAAACTCATTATGTCAATACCCTTAAACCTCCCTTAAAAGGAAATAACTTAGCTGGATTGGAGCAGGATGGTAATTCTTCTCCAGTCCTTGCAGATGAGGGGCTCATCAGGTCACAGCCCTCATTCCTCCTTAAGATAAGATGATATCGGCATGTTGCACATCAGTAAGGTTATCACAGCTGCCAGATTTTTTTATGGCCACCCAGCACAGATTTTTGTTCTCACAATATCTGGAAATGGCCTAAGAGAAATGAGATAGAGCACAGGGACATTCAAAATAAGAGTTGCAGCCTTCACAGAGAAAGCCACACATTCCCATGTCTTTATATGGATGATGGTTGCTGCTTTGTCGGAGAGCTGTGGTCTACTGCTTGTCCTTGGGATCCTATTTTATGTTCATCCATGAAGTTAAGTAGTTTAGGGACTCTGATTAGATTGACAGAGCAAAGGGGAATTTAGACTTTTTTAAAGTTTGGGGTTTTTTTTAAGTATGTCAAAGGTGTGATAATCTCTTAACAATAATATCATCTGTTGTCTGTACACTTGGTTCCTTAAATATAATAAATACTAGTGGCCTGGTGCACGGAATTCGTTCATGGGGGCAGGAGGAGTGTCCTTCAGCCTGGCCTGCACCCTCTCCAATCTGGAACTCCTTAAGGGATGTCCGACCCTAAACTGGCAGTTGGACATCCCTCTTGCAATCTGGGACTGTGGGTTCCTAACTGATCAACTCCCTGCCTGTCTGATTGCCCCTAACCATTCTGCCTGCCAGCCTGATCACCTCCAACTGTCCCCCCTGCCAGCCTAATAGCCCCCAACTGCCCCCCTGCCAGCCTGATTGCCCCCAAATACCCACCTTGCCATCCAGCTCACCTCTAACTGTTCCCCCTGCTGGACTGATAACCCCCCAACTGCCCCAGCCCCCCCTACCAGCCTGATTGCCCCTAACCGCCTCTGCCCTACCACCATGGCTTTGTGCAGAAGGAGGTTTGGAAGGTCTCTTGGTCTGATTAGCATATTACTCTTTTTTGTTTTTAATATAGATACAGTTGGGAAAAGTCATTGTTTACTCGGCTATTTACATTCTATTCAATATCCATTAGTTAGAATTTAAGCAAATTTTAATGAGGCAGGCATGTTCTGTATTTTACTGAAAGGTAGAAAAGGTCTAGTGATTGAAGCACCATAAAGATACTATTTCACTTGCACACCATGACAGAAGCACATCTTATTCTAAAGGACCAGTAAAGTACCACAGAAATTGTCTATTTCAGTTGTAATTTTGTTGTATACTCCCCAGAATTCGTAAGTCATAAATATTACTTTGTTGCACATACTTTACAATTACCATTAAAAGCTAATATACTTTCTATACCCAGTGTTTGAAATACAAATTCTACATTCTAAGTATCACTCTCTGAGGTTAGTTTTGTCTAACAAATTAAAGGTACTGAATTGTGATCTATACAGAAAAGACGTGAATTTGCAAATTGAGTTAGGAGTGATAAGTAGAATATGGTTGTAGATATTATTAGTGATACAATTTTAAGAAATTATTCATGTATGGCTAGAAAATAGAATACAGTTTCAAAAAATCATCAAAGTTTAAAATGGATTTAAATTATTCTGAATCATGGTTACAGAAAAAGATAATTTTCATAATATGGGATTTTTATATACACCATAAAAATATCACTAACATGTTATGAAAGAGTTAATAAGTCTTATTCAATGTGCTAGTTAAAACATGTTTTCATTTTCCTAATACTACATAATATGATTTATCCACAGATACTGGTTTTCGTGTCTGGCAGCAAACCCCACTTTGTGAATCCACAGCCTTACCTCTACTTCAGTGCTCTTTCTTTTTGAAGAGGAGCAGGTACAATAGGCAGTCCATGGTTACTTGCTAAAGATCGAAGGTCAAAATAGTATAGGGCATAGACACTGGCAGAAACATAAAGACGAAACCGCAGTAGACATAGGTATTGCCTTTCCAACTCATTTCTGGGGGAAAAGGAAAACACAAAACCACCACAGGGCAATTTTAGTCAACTTGGTTCTCTTCAAAATTGTCATTCTAAGCTACTAGGTTGGCTCTGAGTTTAGTTTTGAAACAAATAAAGGCTACCCAGCAGGGCTAATACACTAATGTTCAGAGAGGCAAATAAGGGTCAACAATTTGTGGTCCCCTTTGCATCCCAGGACTTTGAGTTTGGGACAAGGGGAAGGAGGTTATGTCTCTTGTGCACAACTGTTGCTGGATAGGGGCTCAGTCATCACAGTCCCATTAGTGTAGCTATAGGTTGATTCTTTTTGCTCACTCACAGGGCCCACTTAGTGTTCAGATGGAAGGAATGATGCATGCTATTTCTAAGCCCTGGAGAACTTGCAGACATTTTCACCTGGCTGATAACAGAAAGGGGATTAGTAAAGTAGAGATGTGCCAACAAAAGGATTGGGCACGTCACCACAGCAACAAATGGATCCATTCAGAGCCACCACTATTATCTCTGAGGGGAAACTCTTGGAAAATTATCAGACACCAAAAAAAAAATTGAGGAAGAGACAAATAAATGGAAGCATGTACAATGCTCATGGTCATGAAGCATTAACACCTTTAAAATGTCTATTCTGCCTCAAAGAATCTATTTCAACCAAATTCCTATCAAGATGCCAATGCCATCTTTTACAGAAGCAGAACAAATAATCCAAAGTTCTATACAAACCCACAAAAGACCCTGAATAGTCATAGCAATTGAGAGAAAAACAAAACAGTTTAAAGGTATTACACTACCTGCTATCAAACTCTACTACAAGACTATAATAATCAAAACAGCATGGTACTAGCATAAAAACAAACATAGATCAATGGAACAAAATAGAAAGCCCAGAAATAACCCCACACCTATATGGTTAATTACTATTTGACAAAAGAGGAGACTTCATTCAGCAGTATAAAGACAGTCTATTAAATAAATATTGTTGGGTAAATTGGACAGATACATTCAAAAAATGAAGCTAGACCACTTCTTACATCACATACAAGAATAGACTCAAAATGAATTATTAACTTAAATGTAAGAGTCAAAACCATAAAACTCCTAGAAGAAAACATAGGCACTAAAATCTGGAATATTTCTTTTAGTGTTTTGCTGATGGATTACCCTGTGCAAGCGAAAGAAAAGAAAAAATAAAGAAATGGGACTACGAAAAGCTAATAGTTTTAGTATAGCAAAAGAAAACATCAACAAAATAAAAAGACAACCCATTGATGGGAAAATGTATTTGATAATGATATATTTAATAAGGAATTTAATATTCAAAAATTATTAAAAATATATAACTTAACATCTTATAAAAAATATACACAGCCCAACACCAAAAACACAAACTAATTAAAAAATGGACAGAGGACCTGAACAGACACTTCTCCAAAGAGAGCATACAGCTGGCTTATATACATGAAAAGATGCTTACCATCACTGATCACTGAGATGCAAATTAAAACCACAATGAGATATACTCACACCTGTCAGAATGGTTAGCATCAATAAATTAACAAATAGCAAGTGTTGATAAAGATGTGGAGAAAAGGGAACCCTCGTGCACTTTTTTGGTGGCAATTATACTGGTGCAGACACTGTGGAAAATAGTATGGAAGTTTCTAAAAAATAAAAAATGGAACTGCCTATGACTCAGTGATTCTACCCTGAGTATTTATCTAAAGAAAATCAAGACACTAATTTGAAAGAATATATGCACCTATGTTCACTGCAGTATTATTTACAATCCTCAAGCTGTAGAAACAACTCAAGTGCCCATTAACTGATGAGTGGATTAAAAAGCAGTGGAATATCATTACTCATCCATAAAAAAGAATGAAATCCTGCCATTTGGAAGAGAACAGATGGACCTAGAGGGTATTATGTTAGTGAAGTAAGTCAGTCAGAGAAATACAAATAACATATGATTTCACTAAAAAGCAATATAAATGAACAAGCAAAATAGAAGCAGACTCATAGGTAAAGGGAACATTTTGAAGGTGGTCAGAGGAGAAGAGGTTTGGGGGGCTGGGTGAAGAAATTGAGAAGTACAGATTGTCAATTACAATGCAGTTATGGGGATATAGATTATGCCATAGGAAAGAGAGTCAATAATACTGCAATAACTATACATGGTATTAGGTCAGTACTAAAAATATTGTGGAAAACACTTTGCAAAGCACATGGTTATTTAACCATTATGCTGTACACCTGAGACTAATATAAAATAACTATAGGCCCAGTGCACAGATTTGTGTTCTTTGCAATCTGGGACCCCTTGGGGGATGTCAGAGAGCCAGTTTTGGCCCAATCCCCGCAGGCCAGGCCGAGGGACCCTACCAGTGCATGAATCTGTGCACTGGGCCTCTAGTATGCATATAAGATCTTTGGTTAATCTCTTCCCACCCTTTCCTCTACCCTCTTCTCTCTGAGATCATCAGTCTGTTCCATGTTTCCATGCCTATGGTTTTCGCTCCTGCATTAAGCATCTGCCCCCAGGTGGTCAGTGCATGCCATAACTACTGGCTTGTCAGCCAGTCACTTAGGCTTTTATATATAGATATTGAATGTAAAGTCTTACTGAAAATAAATGAAATTTTTAAAAGGGGGAAATAAAAGACCTAAACTGGTAGACAGTGTTAAGGAAGCCATGAAGGTATTTACATTACTGTTGTTTTGGAATGTGAGCTTCTAAAAGTTTGCTACTAAATTATCACACAGATTATTACAATAATAACACATGAAGGCATAATATTATAATTAATGAGGAGGAGTATGAAATGTTATAGCAAATGTGGATAGAAAAATGAATGTAATTTTATGCCTAGTTCAGTCCTCTGTACAATGTAACCTTTCAAAATATTTCTTATTTGGTAAATTTTATGAGGGCAAATAAGGTATTCAAAAATGGTTAGAAACTTCATCAAAACCTTGCAAACTCACAAGTCCTTGACTGTCGTGCCCCTTAGCAATGAGGAAAAGTGAGAATTCCATACAGCCAGATCGTGCAGATACTTGTAGGCCTGAATAATCGCTTCCAAAACAATGCGTTTCCAGTTAGACGGACACAAATCAATTTCAGCATAAATTAGAAGTCGTTCTATGTAAATCTGCAAAGTAGAACACTGGTCTTTCATTCTAGTTCAGTTTAAGTGCTGTGTTAAGAACTTTCAGTAATGGCAGATTTCATCAGTTTTTGACATGCCTTTTATTCTTAGGTTCTAGAGAGACTGCTTGGCCAGCCAAAGCCAGAGGCCAAGAAACAGTTGCAAATCAGACACTATTATTGCCTACTTTCCCAGGTGAATTTCCTGTGTGCTTACCAAAGAGTCTCTGGTTCAACTCTTGGCCAAAGTCAGGACTCATGCGGGAGGCAATCAATAGATGTCTCTCTCTTTTAATGATGATTCATTCTCATATTTTCTCTCTCTTTCTCTCTCTCTCTCTCTCTCTCTCTCTCTCTCTCTCTCTCTCTCTCTCTCTCTCTCTCTCTCCACCTCCTCTCTCCCTCCCTCCCTCCCTCTTTCTCGTTTCTCCTCTCCTCCCCTCTCTTTTCTACTTTCTCTGAAAAACAATGGAAAACATATCCTCTGATGAGGATTAAAAATATTTTTTTTAAAGACAGCTCCCCCAGTGGCTGCTGAGTGCTACAGCAGGACAGGCAGTGCAAACAGATGTTTCTGGGTCAGGTTTCTACAACTGTCAAGTATTCTTGGACTTAGTGCCTTTGTAAGAAACACACGTCTACACCAAGGGTAGTCCTTTTATGCCCACTGAGCCTCACATCTCCATTACGATTCTGTGAAATAAATCTATCTCTCTGTCTTATACAACCTGAAGCTTAGTCAGTTCTGTTGGTTTCAGGTGGTAGCAGAGCTACCAGTCTCTGTCTCCCTGGTTCTCTTCTAAACCTGCCAGGTAGCTGGTGAGGTCTCAGGATTTCTTCTCATGTATTACATGTCTATTCTACAAAGAACTGGGTAAAGGTAACAGCTAAGCAAAGATTATAAAGACAAGCTGTGATTTGTTGTTACATCAAAGACTTCTTTGAAGAAGAGTATGTTTACTGTCTGAGGTCATCAGATAATCTCAGATAGACAACTCACATTAGCTAAAGGTCTTCAAACCCAACTATATTTTAGAAAGCAAACAGTTATTGAACATTATGTGTTATTAGTAAAAGTTTGCACCAATCTCCCAAAGTTAAATGCTCTCAGATATCTTCCTTTCAAGGTTCAACTGTCAAGTATCTGGGAATAATTAGAGACATATACAACACTAGAAATCACTCAACTTCCTGCAATCTTTACTGTAGACTTGGTATGTGCCATTAATCATTCATTTATACCACTTGCTTTCCTGAGTCACTGTAATTGGGATTTCTCTTTTCACTGAAACTCTTCTAGCAATGAAATCAATCCCATCCCACTTCTGAAGAACAGCTCCCACAATTGCCTCTTTTGAACACTTCCCTGTGGCCCAGACAATCTCCCCAATATGAATGTCTTTATATGGTGCCCGTCCCACCCCCACAACCCTTAGGGTGCTTCCTCTCTGTTTGCTCACATTGAAGGCCCTGATGCTCATCTCCCACTCTCCCCTTCACCCACCGTAATCTGTCCCTAACACTGTCACTTGACTGAAACTACTACTGCTAATGCATTAGCACATACAAACCAGAGCTCTTCACCCCACTTCCCACACATTCCCTAATGTCATGTGGAGCACTGCCATTTGCCTAAGTGCTTGGCCAAAGACTTCCAATTGAGTTAACCTGCTGCAATCTGTTAGCAATTCTTGTTATCTCTGCCTGTCACTGGTAGTTAGATCACTTTCTAGTCTATTTGCCACTTTCCACCTGTGTCACTGTTATTGCCATGACTTCTCGGCCTCTATTCAGACTCCCAGCTACAGTCATTCTCCCCGAAGCAGACAGGATAGCCGTTTTAATCAAGAGCACTTCCGCACCCTGCTCAACTCTGCCAAAGGGTTTCCACCAAACAAAAATGTACTTCTCCCATGGCCTGCAAGCTCCAAGGCCCAATCAGATGGCACGTGCCCTCCTGCCCCTCATGTGCTACATCTTTCCCTCATTTTACTGACCATATTGGCCATACTTCACTTTTACTCAAATACCAAGTATGAGTTCCTGTCTCAGAATCTGGAACTTGTTCCCTTTGCACATACACCAGAGCTCCTCATCTTCCTCAGTTCAGTCAGGCCAAGGTTCAGATGTCATCTTTTTACAGAGGCTCTTTCTGATCATCTCTCTAAAGTAGCTGACCTAAATACTCTTTCCTCAGACCAAGTAGGAGACTTTTCCCTTTTAGGATTGCCCAAGGCAAGAGTGATACAATCCCCACTCCTTCTCACTAGAATGGACCACTCATTCCAAACGATACACTCTCTCCAGAGGAATCCTGGATGAATGACACAAAGGTCCTTACTCTGCTATAGCTGAGCAGGCAACTAGTAACGCCCTTTCTGGTCCTATGGCACTAGAATCCTGGCAATGTCACAGCCAGGAACAAGAGGACAGCAAGGACAGAAGAACACTCATCATCCAAGGAACAGCAAATTCAGGGTTCTAGTTCTCAATCAGGACACATGTTACAACTGCCTGGGAAATGCAGCCTGGGACTCAGCTTAGACCTACACTGAACCTATCACTGCCTGGGGTCCTGTTATTGCCCCATCCTGCCCCATTAGCACACTCTGTAAGTGTGCCTGTGTGCACTGCGTGTGCCTATGTCTCCTGAGGTCGTGAAGGAGAAATTGGAAATCTTGCCCTCCTGCTGGCTTTAATAGCAACCATTTTGTGGCGAGAAAAGCAAAGATATTTTTAATCATAGTGATTATTAAGCTCAAATATATGAACTTTACTTTATTTGATAGGTTTCCCTTAATAAAGTTCTGAAAGAAGAATTATCTTACCAAAGTCGTTATTGCATATCCTGCTGTTACATCATAGGCAATGAAGAAAGGTCGAATAAATTTGTAAATTGAGTCGGGATCGGGATTACAATGAAAGCATTCTTCAGGAACCTTTTCTTCCTGAAAGGAAGTACCCATTGAAGAAAAATATTAAGTATTTTTATAACAGCAGTGTTCCACTTGTGCCCATGTTTTGGTTAAAATAATTTTGATTGGGTGTCATGTATTTTAGCCTTTTAAATAAAATAATGGGACCTTAAAAAACAATAGTGATTGAATATCGACACTCATAAAGATACAGGCACAACCTCAGAATATTTATATATTCCTTTCCTCCTTCCCCCTATCACATTCTGTCTAAATGTGAACTATTTTTAGGCTCCAAAGACTTGTTGGTCATCATGTCATAGTTCTCTGCAATCAATTTTGAGAATGTAACCATCGGGTTCTAAGGCTGTGCTGTGTGTACATTGCTCATATTGTTATAGAGAATATCTGAAGACATTTGAAAATTTTTGTCATTGTAATTAATTCAATATTTAAATAGCTGTTCAATTTTCTTCTAAAGATCCTGACATATCTATTAAATTTATGTACAAATATTCATATTGTTTGATGTTATTGAAAATTTTCTTTTAAAAATATACATTTTTGTTTTTTGGGTATGTTGACCCACTTTAGCTCACTAATTATACAAAGCTGAAACTCAGTTCTTACTGACATATCCTATATAATAAAAGGGTGATATGCAAATCAACTGAATGGCAGAAAGACCAGTTGCTATGATGTGCACTGACCATCAAGGTGCAGAGCCTCAACATAGGAGCTGCCCCCTGGTGGTCAGTGTGCTCCCACAGGGGGGGCGCTGCTCAGCCAGAAGCCAGGCTGATGGCTGGCGAGCTTAGCAGCTGTGGCAGGAGCCTCCCCTGCCTCCACCACAGCACTAAGGATGTAAGCCATCAGTCAGAGATCCCCCGAGGGCTCCCAGACTGCAAAAGGGCACAGGCCGGGCTGAGAGGCTTCCCGACCCCCAATACATGAATGTCGTGCACCAGGGCCTCTAGTTTCTTATATAACACTAGAGCCCTGTGCACAAAATTCAAATTCGTGCATTGGGTGGGGGTGAGGGGTGGGTGGCCCTCAGCCCAGCCTGTGCCCTCTTGCAATCTGGGAATCCTAGGATAGGGTTCCAAGGCTTGGCTGATTATCAGGACATATCAGGGCTTTCCTTCCCCTGGCTCCCGGCAGCTGGCTGTACTACTTGCCATCAGTGCAGCTCTGCCACCCCACTACCCAACACCGGGCACCTCACTCTGGGGGTGACAGGTGTTGGGTGTGATCATTGGCTGGCTTAGGATTTCCCTCTGCAGGGCAATAACTGGCTGGCCCTGCACACCTGCCACCACATCGCTAGCCAGTGGGCTGGGCCTCTCTCTCTTTTTTTTTTTTTTTTTTGTGGGGCCCTAGATCAATCACTCCTCAGAGGGAGGCCCTGCCCACCCACCACAGTGCTGACTGTGGATAGCCTGGGCCTTCCTCTTTAGGGCAACTGGGCAAGGCGTTCTACCCACCCACCTGGGGCTCTGAGAACGAATGGTCACCGCAGAGGGTGGTCTGGGCCTCCCTCATTTGGGCAACTGTGGAGCTGCCCCACTGGATGGATCACTCCAACAGCTGGTGGCATGAGTATCCCACTTTGGGGCAATTGATCTCACAGAGGGTGGCCTGGGCCTCTATCTGCAGGGCGATCATGGAGAAATGTGGGGGGAGGGAGGCTTGACCAATTGCATTGCACCTACCTTGGCTGAACTGGTGCCAGTGCGTATCATTATGTGGTCATTCAGAAGGTCATCTGGGAGGTCGTTCTGCTGTTCAGTTGTTTGGTCAATTTTCATATTACACTTCTATTATTATAGACTAAAGGCCTGGTGCACAGATTTGTGCACAGGTGGGATCCCTTGGCCTGGCCTATGGGGATCAGGCAAAAACTTGCTCTCCAATATCCCTCAAGGGCTCCTGGACTGTGAAAGGGCGCAGGTTGGGCTAAGGGAGCACCCCAAGTATATGAGTGTTGTGCACTGTACTTCTAGATTCTTATATAACTAAATGCCTGGTACACAGTTTTGTGCACAGATGAGGTCCCTCGGTTTGATCTGCAGGCATCAGGCTGAAAACAGCTCTCTGACACCCCCCAAAGGATCCCAAATTGCAAAAGGGCAGTTCTTAAGTTATGCACCCCAGAATCGGGCTCCCTCCTCTCTGGTTCTGGGTACATGATCTGAGAACCACAGCTGCCAAGTCACAGCAGCTTGGCAGCTCCTGTGTTGAGCATCTGCCCCCTGATGGTCAGTGTGCATCATAGCTACTGGTTGGATGGTCATTTATGCTTTTATATATATATAGATTCCTTTTGCAAAATAATTAGATACAACATGGGGTGGGGAAGAAAACTTAAAGGAAGGTAAGGTTAACTCCCAGCCGGAGAGAGTAATTTTCTACTAGTGATTAATTTCAAAGCAAATCATCATGAAATAAACACAAGTATCTGAGAGAAATAAACAACCTCAATACTACTAGCACTTACTGTGACAGGATGGAGTCTCTCTTCAAAAATGTCCTTGGATCTATTTCCACTTCTAGAAAATAAGAATGTGATTTTAAAAACTAATCCAGGAATTGTATTAGCAACACATCTGTTGGGAGTAGAGAGAATTGTGGCAGGAGCTTAACCTTCAACAAAGAAAGTCCTTCTACACATTCTTCTCTTATATCCTGTAGGAATTTTCTGACCTCTTTTTACTCAGCATATCAAATTCTGTGAAACCTTTTCTATAATGACCTGCCAGAGCTGCCTTTATAAGCATTGACCCTCCCTAATAGGCAATGCTAGTCAACCAAATCAATTGCCCTCCTCTAACCTCTCATTGGCAGACACAGGAACATTTTATAAAGCAGTAGTGGAAGGCAATCCTTCATGTGAAAATGAGATCTGTTTGTTTATTTTCTCTTACTAGTTTCCTATATTATATTCTTATATTTCTTCTTTATTCTTTATAATAGTCTGAGTTTAAAATTTGCCTTTGTATGTTAAAAGTGACCACTCTATTTATTTGAGGAAAAAAAGAAAGAAAGAAAAAAGGATTGGCTGCCTCCTGTACATGCTGAATTGTGGATGGAACCAGAAACCTAGCTCTGTGGCCTTATAGAATTGAACCTACAACCTAGGTATGTGCTGCCCTAACTTGGAATCAAACCTGCCACCTTTTGGTGTGCAGGACAGTGCTCCAAACAACTGAATGAGGGAAACCAGTCTTCTGGGGTTTTTTAGGTTTAATTTTCCACATAGTGGTTCTCCAAGAGTGTTTTGCAAGCTTCTCTGGTTCCACTAGACCAGAGGTCGGCAAACTCAACAGAATCAAAAATCAACAGTACAAGGATTGAAATTTCTTTTGAGAGGCAAATTTTTTAACTTAAACTTCTTCTAATGCCACTTCTTCAAAATGGACTCTCCCAGACCATGGTATTTTGGGGAAGAGCCATACTCAAGGGGCCAAAGAGCTGCATGTGGCTCGCAAGCCACAGTTTGCCGACCACGGCACTAGACCATTTTCAGAAGACCCACAAGGCCAAAACTGTTTGTATAGAAATATTAAGACATTGCCTGCATTTACACTAAAATTTTCAATGAATGACTACATAAAAGCAAAAGTCAATAAAACTGATTTTTGAGCAAGAATCAAGGCAGGGATCCCATTCTGTACTAGTAGTCATTCTACTCTTCACTGCCACTTGTTGACAAGAAATCTGCTTTATTTAAGCACAATTTTGATAAAGCAGTGACAATGAATAATGTTATTAAAAGTTGAATCTTCTTTCTATACTTTAGAATAAGGAGAAGTACACATTAAGCACTCCTACATACTGAATTGTGGTTGTGTTAAGGAAAAGCACTTGGAATTAGTTGTGAGCTGAAAGCCCTACTGTTTTCAGAGAATAATATTTTTATTTGATACTACAACTGTCATTCTCTCAAGACTGAAAAGTGAGCCCATCACTTCTAGGAAAATAACACACATTTCTTGCCAATTGCACAGTTCCAGTTATCAAGCTAAAAATCAAGATTGGAGAAAACTTGTACCCTTTTTGTGACCTAACAGCTTTTCAATACCTAAAGGTATTAATATTTCTGGGAAGATGGGTTATGTGATACTAACAAAAGTGAGTTCTGATACTGTATAAAGAAATGTGAACTGATACTCTCCAAATGACCAATGTATAATGTGATTATGAAAATACTAACTATGTAAGAGATTCATTTAGCATAGAAGATGTATGCATGGGTACTAATTTAACAGAAACCTTAGTACAAGTTCAAGGATAGGATTTAAAACCATTGTAACTATTTTAAGAAGACAGCTTCTGTGGACTTCTGGTACAGTATGAAAGAATATCCAAAATTATCTGAAGGCTTTAAGAATACAAACTTTCCTAGCCATAAAGATACATGAGGCTGGGTCTTCATATGGTTTATTCAAAACAAATTATTGAGATGACATTGAGGTAAGCAAAAGGATTGAAGACAGGGTGTACATGAGAATCAGCTATCTTCTGTTGAACCAGACATAAAGAGATTTGCAAAATGTAAATAAGTGACAATTTCTATTTGGCCTATTTGTTGTGGAAAGTGATTCTCTTTTTATAAAGAATTATGTTAATGCTATAGCTCCTTATTAGGGGTGTTTCTGTCCCCCAGGAAACATTCAGCGATGGTAGACATTTTTTGTTGTCACAATGGGGCCTGGGAAGAAGATGCTACTGGCATCTAGTGAGGAGAGGCCAGGGATGTTGCTAAACATCCTGTAACACACAAGGCAATCCCCCACAACAAAGAAGTATCCTGCTCAAAATTTCAACAGTGCTATAGAAACTATGTTTTAACGTACAATGGACTTATTTTTAAATTCTCAATTTTAATTTCTAATCCAGTAAATATCACTATAGCCCCACATCAAGAAATCTTTGGGATCCTCAATAACTTTCATTAGACAAAAAAAATAAAAAGTTCGCTTCAACAATGTAATGAAAGCACTATAGCTTACTCCAATAATATCTATAGTTAAAACCTAAGAATAACGTTATATCTTTGAATTTTATTAGCTAGAATAACAGGACTGGTTTTAAAACTCACCTGTTTTTTATGTTGTAATATATTGCTAGTGCCACGCTGTAGAGAAAAGAAAAGGTTAACAATTGACTTTATGTCAGGTCTGAAGACATGTTTTAAAAGGGTTGTGGTGGGGGAAGACCATCCCATCTACCCAGTAGCCATGAGATCTCATTCAAAACAGTATCTCCTAAGCACTTTTCGACATGTTGTAGTTCTTTGTCAGTTAGTAAAATGAGGAAAACCAAAATGCTAAGGAATATGTTGTTAGAAGACATGTTTTGGGTGATTATTATAGCATATAAGTTATTACACTTTTGCCCTATCATTTGCCTTTCTACTCATATAACCTTTCATCCTGTACAAGTTAGATCTACTTATACACATGCTTAAATTTAAGCCATATAGTTTTTCCACCTGCCCACCTATTATCCTTCATTCCCCTAAAGTTAAATAAAATGCTATATACCAAACAGAATCATTTAAGGTCATTTTTAACTAATTGTTAAGAAAATTTAATGGCAAATATAAGAATACAATGGAGTAAAATTATACACAGTGTAATATTAAAGATATTTATTTCCAAATTAGTTTAAATACAATTTTAATGAGCAGATGTAAGTGCTCAGATACTGTGTAAGTTACAATACCCCTATGTTAGTCTTAGATGCTGTGTAACATGAAATAAAAGGGTGCTGTAGATTAAGTTATATGCTTTAACTCAAAACAAGCTATGGAACACAGCTAGAGTAGACTGGTTTTTTACTCCCAGATTTAGTGGTCAGACTGAAGAAAAAGACTCAGTGAGAGAGAGAAACCAAGATGGCGGCATAGGTAAACACCTAACTGCAGGCTCATACAACAATTTCAAAAAATACAACTAAAATATAAAGTAGACATTATCCAGAACTACAGGAAAGTTGACTGACTGGAAATTCTACAACTAGAAGGAAAGAGAGAACCAGAAGGAAAATCAGAGGAGGTGTAAAAGCCTAAAGTATAGAGACACAGTGCACACATGGGGAGAGGATGGAGCCAGAGAGGAGGGGCGGCTGAGTACATGGCTGGCATTCCCAAGTGGGAAGGAGATAAAAGCTCTGGACTGTGCTGAGCACCAGTTCCGACTGCACCGAACCCCAGTTCTGGGCGAGACTCTTGGGCCCCAGGTTCATATAGAGAGAAGCTAGGCTGTAAGGCAGAAGCTCAGGGGGCTGCGAAAGGCAGAGCCCCCGAGTCGTGCACATTTTGCGCAGAGGACAGACTGTTGATTGAGCCACTGGATTGCCCCAGTGGGAAGGAGCCATAAGCTCCGGACTGCTCTTAACCCCACTTCCAACTGCACTGAACCCCAGTTGCGGGCGAGACTAGACTGTCTGGTAGTGGGCAAAATTCTAGGGCACCTTTATCTCAGAGGTGCTTGCAGCGAGTACCAAAGGACACTGAGGAACACTGAGACTCAGGAACCTCATAGGGCGGGGCTAACCAGAAGCCAAGGCTGCAGGCTCCACTCTGAAATTCCGCCCCATCCAAGCTGAGCACAGAAGCTCTTTCAGTTTTCCAAGTTTAATCAAATAAGGCTGTCTCCTGGCATAGATACAGTTGATCCTCCCACCCTACCAACTCAGGGAAGCAGTGAAAATGCCGAGACAAGGAAACAAATCACAAACGAAAGAAATGGAGGACAAAAAGCGACTGGATGTAGAGTTCAAAACTACGGTTATAAGGTTTTTCAAGAATCTCCTAGAAAAGGCCGATAAAATAAACAAGACCTATGAAGATATGAAAAGGGATCAACTAGAAATAATAAAGAATCAACTAGAAGTAAAGAATACATTGTCTGAAATAAAAAAAAAAAATATTATACAGAGTCCTAAAAACAGAATGGAAGACCACAAGAATCAATTCAAAGATTTGGAACACAAAGAGCCAGAGAACACTCCTCCACAGAAGCAAGAAGACAGAATCCAGAAAGTTGACGATAGTGTAAGAAAACTCTGGGACAACTTCAAGCGAACCAACATCAGAATTATGGGGGTCCCAGAAGATGACAGAGAGCAAGATACCGAAAACATATTGAAAGAAATAGTGACAGAAAACTTTCCCCACCTGGTGAAAGAAATAGACTTACAAGTCCAGGAAGCGCACAGAACCCCAAATAAAAGGAATCCAAAGAGGACCACACCAAGACACATCATAATTAAAATTCCAAGACCAAAAGACAAAGAGAGAATATTAAAAGCAGCAAGATAAAAACAAGTAGTTACCTATAAAGGAGCATCCATACGATTGTCAGCTGATTTCTCAACAGAAACCATGCATGCCAGACGGGAATGGCAAGAAATATTCAAGGTGATGAATAGTAAGAACCTACAGCCAAAGATAATCTATCCAGCAAAGCTATCACTCAGATTTGAAGGTCAGATAAAGAGCTTCACAAATAAAAAAAATCTAAAGGAGTTCATCACCACCAAACCAGAATTATATGAATTGCTGAAAGGGGTTTTTTAGGAAAAGGAAGAAAATAAAGATAAAAATTATGAACAACAAATATGTAACTATCAAAAAGTGAATCTAAAAACGAAGGGAAGTAAAAAACATGATGAACAATATTAACTGGTGAATATAATAGAATCAGGGGTAAGGAAGGGGAGTGGACTGATGATTCTTGGGGAAAAGGGGAGTGTGGGTTGTGGGAAGAGACTGAACATAAACTGTGCACCTATGGATGAGGACAACGGAGGATGGGGAAAGGGCAGAGAGTGGGATGGGAACCTGGTAGAGGGGAGTAATTAAGGGGGGGGGGGGAAATGAGGAACATTTGTAATAATATGAACAATAAAGATTTATTTAAAAAAAGACTCAGAGATTGTGAGATTGGTGTCAAAACTCAGGACTTTAGAAAGAGATCGGTTTAATTTTTGCTGAAACTCAATTTGATCTCAACTGTTGCTATGAGAGAAGAAACTTACATTATGACTGTGAACTGGCTGTTTTTAATTAATGTAGAAGTTACTGAGAATTTATTTAGCAAAAAATCTGGTACAATATAAACAAAATTAAGTTTATAAATAATGTTTTAGTACTGAAAAATAAAATTAGAAATGAGGATTTTAATATTTTCAGGTAGCATTTTCCAAACTGTGTTCTGGAAAGTCAACCGTCACATCCCAGGGAGACATTGATAATGATCCTTGGACAACCCCAATTGGATTCAGGAAGCTCTACATCCAAGTTTGGTTTTATTTTTCTCTTAAATAAGCTTGAAGGTTTCAGATTAGGGTGTGTGTGTGTGTGTGTGTGTGTGTTTTAAAGTCTTCAATTTAGACTATGAACTCACAAAATTTAATGAATTGTTTTCATCATCATGACACTGTTATGTTTGCTTAAAAGTAAACCTGACTGTGACTATGTTTCCAAAACTCTCATGATTTTCTGCTTTGATTTTGTTATATATGGATCAATATAGGTCTTGAATATGCATATATATATATATATATATATATATATATATATATACACACACACACACATATATATAACTAAATTAAATACATCTATGAAATTAAAACATCAGCCAAACAAATTTAACCCACAAAGAAGTTAACTTGAGAAGTTGTTCCTTAAGATTGGTTTGCTGCATTTTTCCTGGAAGGAGAGTGCATTTCAATATAGAAATAGTTCAGAAATAAAAAAGTACGATGGGGGAAATCTGACACAATCCAATGACCTGTAAATGCAGATACACTCTGCTGCCAGTAGGGGACAAGCTGTCCCTTCTTCCTAGAGCATCTTCCTGGTTAATACCATAGTTTTAGGCCTATATCTCATGAAGAAATACTTTATTCCAGAAACATTCAGTAAAACACACCTCTCCTTTCACTGTGAAGTTAGTAATGCCTCAAGTAAAGATAAATACTTTTGGGGGCATTTTTAAATTGTTAAGTTTAAATTTAAGAAGGTTTCCTTTCTTCCCTCCACTCTAAGATTAAAATGGAAGTGGAAAACAATATATAATTGACACCGGTTTTTTAACCTAAGCACTGAAAAGAACAATCAAATGAAAGTACATATGGGCCGGATAAGAGGTCTGTCCCCTGTTTGTACTCACCACTGCAAAGCAATTCTCAGATCAGGCTGAGAAATCGAGTAGTCAACATACATAGTATTACATGAGCTGTACTTTTCCCTAAGGTGACCAGGAGACACCTGAAGAGGTAGGGGAATAGAAGAAAATATCATAGTTAGTTAAACCTATAAACCAAACAATTAGGCATTACAATTGTTCTCATACTCTATGAACTGCTTTAGTGCAATACCATGTGCAACTCTATGGTAAACCCATTCTATGCTCTAATTTCCAACTATGAGAATTGAGGAAGGGGTCATAAAATGCCGCCCTTGACATACTACCTATAATCCAACTTGGCAAACACCTATGATAAATTCCCTTTATAAGAATGTAAAACATGCCGGGACCGGTTTGGCTCAATGGATAGAGCATCGGCTTGGGGACTGAAGGGCCCCAGGTTCGATTCCGGTCAAGGGCATGTACCTTGGTTGCGGGCACATCCCCAGTAGGGGGTGTGCAAGAGGCAGCTGGTCGATGACTCTCTCTCATTGAAGTTTCTAGCTCTTTATCTCTCTCCCTTCCTCTCTGTATAAAAAATCAATAAAATATATTTTTTTTAAAAAAGAATGTAAAACATTTATAGATAAAACATCATTTTGCCTGTTTCAGATGCTTCTCTTCAAAGCTACTTACTCCTCAATAATCAGAAGCTCTAGATGGCATAATTTGAAAATTTCTATTTGGAGGAATAAATTATCCTTCAAGCTAGAAATATTTTAACTATAGCTAGAACTCTGATATGTTTCTTAAGCCATGCAGTTAACATGTAATTTACTTTTGGGATCTCATCAGACAAATGCAGCATAAAGAGTGAAAACTCATTCAGATAATTTTATTCTAAATGGAAGGTTTACTACCATATAGGTGCAGTGTGGCATATAATACACCATGAATAAAGTCAATAATGACCAGAAACCTACATAGAGGGGAGTAAGAAGAATAGGAATCAAAGCACCAAAATATAGACTAGTTGGTAAAACATTAGGTGATATTTGCTCCCATTTCCCTCTATTTAAAATCTTTTTCATTATAAATGTACATTGTGTTCTATTTGAAAACAATGCTAAAATATTGAAAAATTTTAATCAGACATGGGGGTCACTGGTCTATGGGAGTTCATTTAGTAAAGCAACAATTTACAGTATAGTTAGATCCAATCAAAGAAATACTGAGCACTTCCCCATCAGTGTAGGCTACTCCCAATTTCTCAAATTTTCCAATACCAAATATCTAGTATCCACTATAGTGGCAGAATTAAACTGGTAGCAAATCCTGGATATTCTGGCTGTCAAATGATTACACTCCTCTTATCCTGTTTAAAAATGTAAAACAATTGTTCTTTATGGTTAAAACCTTACTATTGCTGGCTTGCAAGCTCAATAAACTACACAGAAAAACAGAGATAAAAAATGCAAATATTAAAAAAGAATTAAAGAACCCAAATGCTAATGACAAGGTAGTGTTTATAGGTATTTTAGTAGGTCACTAGAATACACAGGCTAAAATCTTACTGTATCTTCACTCATTCAGAACAAATGGCAGAATAGATGGACTTTTATAATCTTTTCAAAAAAGGTAAGGGGTTCATTAGATTTATTTATTATTTATTGTTTAAAGTTTTACATGTCTCCTTTTCCCCCCGACTGTCCCAGTATCTATGTCCATTGGTTATGCTCATCTCTGGATCTATTCTTGTTCATCAGATTATGTTTATTATTATATTACAAATATGAGTGAGATCATGTAATATTTATTTTTCTTTAACTGGCTATTTTGCTTAGCATAATGCTCTCCAGTTCCATCCATGCTATTGCGAATGGTAAAAGTTCCTTCTTTTTTTTTTTTTTTTAACAGCACTAGAGGCATGGTGCACGAAATCCATGCACTGTGGGGGGTGTCCCTCAGCCCAGCATGCACCCTCTCCAATTTGGAACCCCTAGGAGGATGTACGACTGCTGGGTTAGGCCCAATTCAGTAGTCAGACATCCCTCTCACAATCCAAGACTGTTGGCTTCTAACCACTCGCCTGCCTACCTATCTGACTGCCCCAAACTGCTACTGCCTGCCAGCCTGATCATCCCCTAGCTGCTCCCCTGATGGCCCAATGGCCAACTTCCCTCTCCTGTAGCTTGGTCATCTCCACTGCCCTCCTCTTATGGCCTGATCACCCCCAACTGCCCTACCATGCCAGCCTGATTGCCCCCAACTTCCCTCCCCTGCCAGCCATCTTGTGGCAGCCAACTTATGATAACGTGGAGGCAGCCATCTTATGATGTGGGGGCAGCTATCTTGTGACAAGGTTGGGGCGGCCATTATGTGATGATGTGAAGGCATCCTGTGAGAGCAAGAAAGCACGAGGGCCACCTAAGCTTTTATTAATATGGACAGTATTCCATTGTGTAGATGTACCACCGTTTTTTAATCCACTCATCTGCTATTGGATACTAATGTTGTTTCCAAATATTAGCTATTGTAAATTGTGCTAATATGAACATAGGGGTGCATATATCCTTTCTGATTGGTGTTTCTGGATTCTTGGGATATATTCCTAGAAGTGGGATTACTGGGTCAAATGAAAGTTCCATTTTTAACTTTTTGAGGAACCCATACTGTTGTCTACAGTGGTTGCACCAGTCTGTATTGCCACTAGCAGTACACAAGGGTTCTTTTCTCTGCATCCTCACCAGCACTTGTCGTTTGTTGATTTAGTGATGACAACTATTTTAACAGGTGTGAGATGGTATCTCGTCGTTTTGATTTGCTGCTCTTGGAAAATTAGTGACTTTGAGCATGTTTCCATATGTCTCTTGGCCTTCTGTATGTCCTCTTTCAAAAAGTGTCTATTTGGGTCCTTTGGCCATTTTTTTATTAGATAGTGTATCTTCCTTTTGTTAAGTGATATGAGTTCTCAGTAAATTTTGGAGATTGAACCCTTATTGGAAATATCATTGGCAAATAATATGTTCTACCATGCAGTGGGCTTTCTTGTTGTTTTGTTTGATGATTCATTTTGTTGTGTAGAAGGTTTTTATTTTGATGTAGTTCTAATTTGTTTATTTTCTCCTGATCTCCATTGCCCTAGGAGCTGTGTCAGTAAAGAGATTGCTATCAATCAATGCAGAAAAAGCATTTGACAAAATCCAACACCCTTTCTTCATAAAAAAACAAAACAAAACAAAAAACCTCTCAGCAAAGTGAGAATAAAGGGATAATACCTCAACACAATAAAAGCCTTAGATGACAAACCTACAGCCAACTTTGTGCTCAATGGGCAAATACTAAACTCACTTACCCTAAGAATGGGGACAAGACAGGGATGCCCACTTTCACCAATCCTGTTTGATATAGCACTGGAAGTGCTAGCCATGGTGATCAGACAAGAGGAAGAAATAAAAGGCATCCAAATTGGAAAAGAACTAAAACTGTCCTTATTTACAGATGACATGATATTATACATAGAAAACCCCAAAGACTCTATCAAAACCTGCTAGACCTTAATAAATGAATTCAGCAATGTAGTAGGATACAAAATGAATACCAGAAATCTATGGCCTTTTTCTACACCAACTAGTAGCCTAGTGCACAAAATTCGTGTATGGGGGGAGGGGAAGTTCCCTCAGCCCAGCTTTCACCCTCTCCAATTGGGGACCCGTTGGGGGATGTCCAACTGCCGGTTTTGTCCCAATCCCTGTGGGCAGTCAGACATCCTCTCGCAATCTTGGACTGCTGGCTCCTAACCGCTCACCTGCCTCTGCTTACCTGCCTAATTGCCCCTAACCCCTCTGCCTGCTTGCCTGCCTGATCACCCCTAACTGCCCTCCCCTGCTGGCCTGATCTTTCCCCCAATGTCCTCTCCTGATGACCTGATCTCACCCCCAATGGCCTTCCCCTGCCACCTTATCTTACCACTGACTGATCTCCCCTGCAGGCCTGATAACCCCTAACTATTCCTGGCTGCCTGATTTCCCCTAACTGCCCTCTCCTGCAGGCCTAATATCACCCCCAACTGCCCTTCCCTACCAGCCTGATCTCACCCCCAATGGCCCTCCCCTGCCAGTCTGATCTCACCCCAACTGCCCTTCCCTGCTGGTCTGATTGCCCCTAACTGCCTCTGCCTCAGCCCTCACCATTATGGCTTTGTTCAGAAGGAAGTCAGACATCCAGAAGATGTCCAGTGGATCCGGTCTAAGTAGCATTTAGACACAGCCTGGTATTCGGTTGGTATTGCCCTTCTATTGGTATTGATAGATTATATAGGATAGGATTGCTTAAATGAAGGGAGGGTTTCAGCAAGAGGGGATGCTCTTGGCAAACAAAAATACATAATCCCTAGTATATCTGGACTGAGAACCAGCCATATGCACTATACTGCCAAACTGATCATTAAAAAATTGAACCACTTTCTTGCACCTTACACCAAAGAGCTATTGCCCTTAAAAGCGCTCCTCAGCCCTCACCTTAGGTTCTGCCTTTGTAGTTCACCCAGATTTGGTTTTGATTGGTTGGTTTCTATGCCAGCCTATTGTCTCTGGGCCTATCTCCCAGGCCTGATCAGAGAGGTGGGGCTGTTCAGCAGTTGCCCCAGGCTGCTGACGAGTGGGATGAACTGTTGACCTCTGGGAGAGAGAGAGAGGTGCAGCTGCAGGCAAGGCCTGGAGTGAGAGAGAGAAGCAAAGCTGATCAGCAGCTGATATGAGGCTACGGATCAGACCCTGCTTCTCTCTGGGCCTTGCCAGCAGCTGCTGCAGCTGTTGATCAGCTCTCTCTCTCTCTCTCTCTTAGAGGTGAGAAGTTCAGCCCATTTGCCAGTCCCTGCCCATCCGAGCCTACTGTGCACACAGCCTGGTATTCAGTTGTCCCTTCGGTTGTTTTGGACATTACAGACCCTGGCTCTTTATGTATTTAGTGAACTCTTAGAAAGAGAAATTAAAAAAGCAATCCCATTTACCAATGCACAAAAAAAAAATTTAAGATACCTAGGAATAAATTAAACTAAGGAGGTAAAAGACCTGTACTCAGAAAACTACAGGACATTGAAAAAGGAGATAGACAAAGACATATACAAATGGAAGAACAT